AGCGAGTCACCCCTCTAAAAACGTCATTACTGTGCCAATGACATTGAACTTTGCTCTTCCATGAAGCAGCAGTTTCCATCTTCAAATAATCAAAATAAACTTGATACCCTGGTGAAGCATGTCTATTGTTTCACAACGACTGTCCCAGGGGATTTTCGTCTTCCCAATTTCTCAAGATAAACGTCCCAGGGTTGTTTTGTGTACTAGAATAACATGTTTATTGGCAGCATTTCCATTGCACAAAAAAAAAGAAGAAGCAAATACTGTTACTGAAGCACAGAATTTACATGATTTTTTTCTCCCCGGCCATTCACGCAAACTGCAAACGAAGTCTTTTACCTCATCCATAGTTGTTGACACTTTGCAACCGCCTTGATGGATGTATTGTGACGTATTTTGACCCCGGATTCTGACTTTGCGTTCCGGATACATGTACTGCCCTTTCATACCAGTTCAATTTCCTTTCATTATTACATCCAAATGTCATGATATTTAATATTTGAAAACCAACCTTTATTTCACAGTCACTTCTAGTTTTCACTTTTCTAAAATTATTCTTACTGATCAAAAAACTTTTCACTCCCATCATGCAATCTCCCATAGTACTTCCGCAGACATAGCGGCGATCGCCAACATATCTACAAATAATCTCGCTCTCAGAAGCTGATGAGTCAAAAGACTTTCCACTCCCATCATGCAATCCCCCATAGTACTTCCGGAAACACAGAGGCGATCGCCAGCATATCTACAAATAACCTCGCTCTCAGGAGCTGAGGAATAATAGTTTGGTGAAAGGTGTTACTGGGACCAGTTTACGATACAGATTTTATGTAAGAATGTCGGTCGCACGACTTGTGTGACTTGCTCATATTACAGAAAAGGATAATCTAATCGGGTTCAATCATGTTTTGAAAGATCCAATTTTGCGCCAAGATCACAGATTTAAAAATTAAAAGTGGTTAACGTTTAAATTCTTATTTGAAGAGAAGGCTGCAAACGTCCACCGCGATGTTTAGCAAGCAACGAAGAGGGTTCGGAGAATAGACAACATCTGTGCACCGTAACTTGCTGTCCACTTATACTGCCAATAAATCAAATGCGATATTGTAATCCTTTTCTCATACATTGTAGTTTCTTTACATTGGGTGATTCTGAGATGTTATCCGGGGAAGCCCTTGTCGTGACGTCACGTTGGTGTGTTGATTTTCCATATAAATTGTCAATCGTCTATAAAAAATCCAATCAGTACAATCCAGGAATCGTATATAGTCCGCAAGACAGTCTCTTACAACATTGACTTGAAGCCCTGGTCTAAATTAAAGGGCGGCAGTCGTCGTGCCGCGTCCTGTTCGACATGGGACCCATAGCGACGTATACAACGCGTGTAAAATACATTGTTTATTTACATTAAATTCGAACACGCGCTGCGCGACGACCACCGCGCTTTAAATTTGAAATTTCGTGATACTCGCAGTTTTTGTCAAACATTCACTTGGACAAAATATTTAAAAATGTGGTATTTGGTGATTTATTTACGGTGAATTCTCCCAGAACAGGACATACAGGTACCTCACCACTAGGACCTCCGGGTTCATAAGTCTACCAACCTCGAAATGGGCCGAATGACCCCATTAATGATCAGACCCTTCGGGCTGGGACTAGTTCTCCCAACGTCCGAGAAGAATCTCAATCTGGTACGCCGACATCCAGAAACTGCAATGATTAGGAATTTTGAAAAGCTTTCCGTGATAAAAACGTGATGTTTTCTTAATAAAGCCATCTGGCCTTGGAATGGATTCAGTCGGTCAGTGCGGACTGTCGAGCATAAACATTTGATGTGCATTCACCGTATTGACGGTGAGCTGGTCACGACTTGTCATATCGCCGCGCTGTCTGGCACCTTTGCTTTCCAACGATGTATCCCCGGTGTATTAAACGTAGCAGGCATGTGTCAGGGCAGCGTCAACAACATAATTGAAAACTTTGATGAGAACCGTGTGGTCATCTAAATTACCTCTACGAAGTGACTAATGATGCCACGGAATCGAAATGGTCTCTCTACTCAGGTTCTCATCACATCATGAATGAAATCGACATGCAGGTTCAATAATCAGGTTAACACGTGGCATGCATATGGTTGAGTTGTTAAACAACAATGAATATGGAGATACATGTCTATTCATTGAAATATAGAAAACAGCTGAATGTAAGATCACCGAATCAACGTCTACATTGAGCGGTAATAACCTCTCAGTTCAAATTATATATGATAATATTTAAGCGGCCACGTGCTGAAACAGCTGAGATATATATTGAAGTTGCTATTCTGTCAAGAAATCACATATAATTCAAATGTTACAAGCATTTTCAAATATATTACTGTTAATCTTATGATTCTACTGTATATGCACAGAGTACAGCACGCCTGTGACCGCAATTACCGCTAAAATATTACGTTTCGACCATCCTGACTAAAATCGCCCAATGATCCTTAGTTGCACCAAATATCACGTGCTCAAATCAACGGCAAGGTAAATCATATCAAAGATATGTCACGTGATGCATACTGTTTCTCAAATTTATGTTTAACTCACGCGTAATTTGCATTTGTTATTAGACATTATTAGTGGACAATATTGAAGTTCACGTCCACGGCGAAGCCTTGATGCACTTAGACCATCGATGATTGGTTTCGCCGCCACGAGACAAATGGTGACAACGCGACCTGCAATAAGTGATTCGATTTCACACTCACTGGTTTAGTGTCATCATGAGTTATTCGATCACTGTCCCTTTTAATGTCCTGTCGTCACGTCGTCGTTGTGCAATTCTAGTATCAGTATGACCAGAGGTACATTACATGGGGTTTGCAACTACAGCAACATGTTACCAAGATCCCGTTTCGATCTCGCTCTCGCATAAGCGTTCCAACTCAGAAAAATGCGAATGCGCATGCCCGAGGTAACTAGGATACTGGGATGTCCAGGTGGATCAAAATAGCTGTTCACGATATGGCGGATAACGATAACTATATTTTCTGTACATTTTCGATGTATTACATTTTTTCACTATGAATGCGGTAATACATGTTTTATTTTTTTTTTATTACAAACTGCCTATGTCATGTCAGAAGGTCGTAGCATTAGTCTCGCTATCTACGAGATGAGACTTGAATGGGATCTTGGCATGATGTCACCATACAGATTATGCGCGTTGCAAACCCCAAGTAATGTACCTCTGGTATGACAAACAACAGTAAATGTAGTGACAAGTCACAAGCTTTACCGACTACACGATAAATACATATCTTACGAGTTTTAAATTTCAACTGACATACTATCAAATTTGTTGTGTTTTGGAAACTCATTGTAACACGCTGTTGCTGCATGTTATTGTATTGTATTGTAATATCGCGAGCACCACGGTGTAGTACTAATACTAGTAGTCGTTTATGAGTGATTTAATTTAGTAATCATCAATATCTGAAATTGGAGATGTCATTATTGTGTTTTGACGATTATTACGTAACGATCGCGTAGATGATTTCATCTACTTTTCTGCTCGAATGCTT